AGAGGCCGGCATGGAGAGAATCGGAAATGGTGTCGGCGGCCTACTTATCCTCGAGCGGAACACGAAGCATAGCAGCACTGTGTTGTCAAGCTGTTCACAGCTTGAATCCATAAATCTGGATGTTGATGAGATGCGCTATTTGAAGGAATAGGTGGAACATATCTTAGGCCATAGTCAGATGTCCTCTGTCTTTCCGCGCCGGACACCCACTTTACTTCAATGTCGAGAAGAAACAGGCCAGACAAAGGTTAGAGAGAGCGACGGATCGATACCAACTACATGTTTGTCAAAAGTTCGTCTGTGCATCTGAGACTCCGGGTAGAAAGGTGCAGTAAACTTACTGACTTGTAGACTATCATCCAACTTAGGAGAAGAACACGGTGGCTCGCACGCCAGCATTTTGGAATCATTTCGGGTTCCAATCTACCTGTGGTGATGGTACAGAGAGATCGGGTTTTTTTTTGGGAAGAAGCAGCATGCGACTGCAAAGCATTCGGTCGTGGGTTCATGTCAAGGATAGCTTGGAACACAATTCCATGTCAGGTTCATCGAGGAACGTATCTGGCGGCTGCTGGAGGGGCAAAATTCATAATTATGCCGAACACATGGTATTCCCCGTCCTTTGAAGGGATCCTCCTCGAGCATTGACTGCCGATAATGATTCTCGTTTAGTAACGGTCAATGTGGGATCTTGAAAGAAAAATGGGCATGCTACAAGGTAATACCGTCGGGAGGATTCGAACCTCCACCTGCCTTCATTATTACTCCAGAATGGAAGGCCTATTTTTCGTAGGCAGCCCGCGACGGTCGCTTTTACCAATGTTGATCCTGCACTATGTGCTCTCGCTCGAATTTCGCGATGATCCACGTTGACATGACATCTTGGAGGCGAGCATGATACGCTTGATACCCAAAGTGGATGAACGTAGACCAGTTTCTTCTTTTACACCTCTCTCCTCAAGAAAGAAAAAACGCTAGTTTATTGATCTGACTAGTGAGACTAGGATAAACACATCTGAAAGGAACGAGCACTGACCTGGAGTCAGGGAGACACAAAAAAAAAGCTCTGTCAGCTTGTGTCTATGCCATCGGAAGGATCCGAACCCTCTGCCTGCCCACTGGGCCAGCGATTTTCGTGAGGCGGCCTGCCTACATGGCTGACAACGGTTTCTTTCACTGGCTGAGAGCCTTGATTACTTATACCCGCAGGTATAAATTATGGACAGAATTCCGTTCTATGGATACTGAGAACAAGATTTGCTCACCTTTTGCTACAAGTACCGGTGAAGCGAAACGTGACGAGGAAGCGAAATGGCGGCCAGTTCGGCCACTTAGAAGTTGATTTTTTGCTCAAGCTTTTCGTGGGTGAGGGAGCCCGATATGTTGTCCTCGTATGCAAAAGGAATTGTGTAAAAAGCTGCTGTAGCGCCGGCGCGACACGGTTTTGTTTGAGCCATCATTTCACCCGTTTAGCCGATTTGTTGCAAGCCAGATTGAATATAATGTGCTGGGACATATGTGGACCGGAGGATGTCTGCCCGGGGGTTTTCAAGGTCAAGGATTCCGAATATGACGACTTTGAGCTCCCAAAGGGCATACATCGCGCGCCTCGGATTGTTTTGTAGTGTTTCGCTTCCAATTCGCTTCCTCGTTTGGATCAGACCCAAAATGTGTTCGTTTGGAATGAAGACAAAGCCCAATCTCGCAGTTCTTTGCACGACGAGGAAGGTTGAGAGCCAAAGTAGCGGTGTACAAAGAAAAATGATGTCATTGGAGCATTTTTCAGCCTGCAATTCGAGGCGGAAATCCAGCGTTTCGCTTCACCGTTGAAGACTGTACTCACCCATCAAAGGGGACTCTAAGCAAGTGTCTCCGTGCTCACCTCTTGACACGGGGGCTAGATCAGAAAGAAAATGGCGCCGTAGGCTCGATGTATGCCATCGGGAGGAATCGAACCTCCGTTTCCCACCCTTCGTCCGGCGACAATCCGGGAGACGACCACCGGCCACATCGGCATATTTCACCCAGAGTGAACCTGTGGGAATCGGTGGCACCTATGGGGTGGATTGCGTTGCTCAGGCGACTTGAGGGTGTGGATAAAACAAAGTAGCGGAATACTCTGCCATGGATCGTAAGCTGAAGTTGTTGTCACTTTGGTGGCGGCCGTCATTGCTACAACAGATTATGTCCATGGATTTCGTCTTGCATACAGCTGGGCTATGATGGATGAGTTACTTCCTTTGTGGGCGACTGTGCACTTGCCTGTCCACCGCGTTGGAAACGAGGCTGATTTTGGGTCAAAAATTTGGAAGACGTCTTCGAAGTTCGGATAATGCCGCAGGGGGATTCGAACCTTTCTACCTCCGCTCGTATTGCCGAGGGCCTATGCTCCGGGGCAGGCCACCCACGGCCACGACAGGTTATTTCTGTGATACATATGCGAGCCTTAGATTGATGTGGAACCCTCAGGTTGAAGTCTGGAAAATTGTAACGTTAATTTTAAACGCGGTAGTGTAGAAGGATGTTGACGGAATTCCGATCCTGTTTGAGTGTTACCTGCACATACACACTGCTCCGAGCGAGGCTGGAGCACTATGCACCCACATTCATGGGCGCGGTGGAGGTTGAAGAGAAAGATCCGTCGGCAGGGTGATCCGAGGTGATCGCCGGGATGGCAGCACAGACGGCAAGCGTCGGCATGCAATGTTCAACCGAAGTTGAACCAAGTCGGACTGATGCTCTATCAGATTTACTTGCATCTTCGCTCCCCCAATTCTATTCACTGTTGTATCCTTTCCGCTTCAAAATCAAATAAGGGCTCACACAACTGTTCGTACTCAACCGAGACAACGGTAACCGGTCGGTGAAGCTGTGTGCATCATATCATGATGCCGAGACGCACGGTCTCCTAGTCTCTTTCTCTCACAACACTCATCCTTCTCCCCACTCACTACACCTACCAGTGCACTATTCATCATGGCGTGCACCCCCAAGGTCTACGTCAAAGCCTATCTAGCTGGCTGCCTCATCGCAGTCTTCCTCATCCTCACCCCAGTCCTCATCGAGGCGTACTACCCGCAGGCCGCCCCCGTCGCGGAGGCCCTCGTCTGGGTCACCGACACCATCTCGCGCGGCTTTGGCGCGCTGTGCTTCGTCATGGCCGTCGGCCTGTTTGGTTCCCTGACCAACAGCGCTCGCAAGGGCGTCGTGCACCTGTTCACCCGCCGCTCTAGCCCCGCCACTGGGCCCATCTCGCTCGAGGACGGCACCGCCGAGGCTGACACCGAGGTCGCCCCCGCCACCCCTACTGCGGCCCCCACCCCCGCCGCTGACAAAGCCAAGCCCACCATCGTCAGCAAAGTCCTCTCCCTCCTCTCCTTCACCTACTTCTTCACCCGCCAAGTCATGCTCAACGAGCTCGTCTCTTTCGACCGCCCCGCGCTCGACAACATCCTCGCCGTGGCGCTCTACGTCCTGCGTGGCCTTGAGGTCGTGTTTGCCGCGTTCTTGGCGCTGCTGTTCGTCGCGTGGATCAGGTACAAGAAGCCTGCGGCGCCCGAGGCTGAGGAGGCGTCTGTGTTGCCCGTCGTGGTCGAGGCGCCTATGGAGGTGAAAGAGAAGGACGAGAAGGCGCTTCTTATGGAGTCGGAGGCTTAGAGACGGTACATTCCTCTCACAAATTATGCTCACGGTTCGGTAGCGTACCCCTTTCCCCCAGTATCTTCCCCCATCAAATTATCCCTCCCTTTGTACTTGATACTCGCAGTCCATGATTTTATGGATCTCCCCCTCCTTACAGTTTTGTTGCGCCTTAGTAGTACTTATCAGCCGAAACCAGCCTGATTCTCAATTGACAAACTCTTTGCCAATCCCCTCTCGCGAGTTCTCACCGTCAGCATAAAATGAGTCCGGCGTCCCTCATATTCGCGCTCTCCCGTGGCTATTCTCGATCCTCCCGCGTATCTGGTTCTCCCGCACCTTTGATCGTCCTGCCGTTCGCTTCCAAAAAGTAATTGTACTTCCCGCATCTCCTGCCCACCCGCATCTATCATCGAGCGCTCATCAAGCTGTATTTTCAACAGCATCTGAGCCGGGAACACGAAGCCGTCGAGGGCCAGGGCGGCCGGCCGCCTTCCATGGATTTTGTGTATTCAATCACGTACCTTGTAAGGAGGAAAGCGGAGGTTCGAATCCTCCCGATGGCATGGGCAAGGGAAACGCGTTTTTCTTCTTTTGAGGCTCTTCAGTTCAGCTTCTGGTAATCACGTTCCGGTGTCCGACTCGATATCCCCCGCTGTTCAAGTCGGAAAGGTTATCCAACCTTGGTGACCAGCAACGATCTTTTTCGTCTACCATTGCGCTCGTCAGGTCATAAGCTCAGCCTCATTCAAGCTGGGTCAAACAAGCCGCCGTGGGCCATGGCGGCCGCCTCCCAAAGATTCGAAGTATCGGACCCAATCACTTTATTCAGAGGAAAGCGGAGGTTCGATTCCTCCCGACGGCATCCGCCTTTGAGTTATGACATCTTTTTCTTGTAGCGCTCCCCAGCTGAACTTCAGGGACCCCATCACGTCGAGGGTGCGCCGTTCGCTGTCGGAACTTTGGCGACAACAATAATTTCTCCCATCCTTCGTCATTGAACGCTCATTCGGCCCTATGTATCTCCAACAGGTATTCAAAATTTTCAAGCTGGGTCAAACAAGCCATCGCGGGCCATGGCGGCCACCTCCCAAAGACGATCGGGATCGAACTCATTACAAGGAGAAGAGCGGAGGTTCGATTTCCCCCGATGGCATAGAAGATCCTCGAGTATCACTTTTTTGTCAGTCCCAGTTCAACTGTCACTTGCTTACTCACCATTCCCCTCTTCCATGAACCCTCGATATTCACCTCATATAATGTGCTGGCACGCCACATACAACACTTCAATTTCAATGCACCTTGGAGGACCGGCGCGAATTCACGAGTCATGTCTTTCAGGACCAAGGTAGGTGCAATAAGCCGTCGTTGGCCTGGAGGCAGAGCTACCACTGCGATTATTTGCGGCAAGTCTCTGTAAGGAGGAAGGTGGAGGTTCGAATCCTCCCGACGGCATGTGGAGTTTTGCAAGGACATTTTTTTTCCTCTGTGACGCGAATGCTCTCCGATATAACTTCTTCCACCCCGCCGATCCCAGAAAAGTAATAGCTGTACCTTTCGCTAAACCAATTTGAACATCAGCAGATCGCAAGTACTCGATCGATCCAGGACAAAATCTAACATGTGCCGTGGTACCGCCCCAAGTTCAAAGCTGTATTAATCGAGAGCAAGGTAAGCGAAATAAGCCGTTGTGGGCCTGGCGGCCCGCCTCCCACCAATAGATGGGATAGTACCAGTATCGAACGGAGGATGGAGGTTCGATTCCTCCTGACGGCATCCCCACCATCTGAAGTTCTTTTTCCCAGTTCAACATCTCTTTGCTGGCTAACAACCTTACCAGAGACTATTCTTCCTCGCCTCTGGTGATCCGTCATTCAACCAGGACGCAAAGCGTATTGCATGTTATTCAAGAGATGGTGGCCCTTATCCTGCGAGACCAATACTTACAATCAAAGCCCAGGGTAAGTGATCTAAGCCGGCGTAAACTCAGCCTACGGAAAGCCGCCTTCCAAAATTTCTGATTGAATGCAGGCAGATGGGGTTCGAGTCCCCTCTCGGCCCCCCTCCCCTCATAGTCATTTACCATTCAGATCGATATTCCAACACACATTGCTATTCCTCTTTCATGAGCTCCCGAAACGATCACAGTAAGTCGTCGTAGGCTATCGAGGCCGCCTCATAGCGATTATGCACCAACAATTGGCGACCTTGTATGGGAATGGATTGAGGTTCAAATCCTCCCGACGACATGGGTCGGACTGACATCGTTGCTTTCCCACGCTCCAAGCTTAGATTCCGAATCTTATTCCGCAATTTGCGTACGTGCGAGCGTGGCCTTGACTTCCTGAACACCAACAGCACAGTGAGCAAGTGAATTGTTCGGTCGCCACCTGCCTGGCGCGACACGGCTCTACCGAATCTTGATTTCGGAATCCCTGTTTGTGATCTGGAAAATCAGGAATAACTGCGTAATTAGCAGAGAAGGTGCATCTCCCCCACCAGCCGAAATCCACAACAAGTGGCTCTTTGCCATAAACGACCGCCTTACGCTCGACCGCACCTTGTCAAATCAGCGTCGGTACGGGACCCAGATCTCGACAAAACCTCTCCTAGTACTCCAAACTTGGAGCTCGATACTGAAGGATGAGGATAATCTGCCAGACAACTGGCTGCGTCTGCCCAGGGTTTTAGTGGGTACTGAGCCGAAAAGAACCCAACCTGAGCCTCCGCCTATAAATCGGCGAGGGCGTAACAGGTAGGCCCAGAGCCCCACACTGTTGCTTACAGCTTCGTGCAGAGATGCATTTAGACTCGTTACCAGGCTGCCTACGCCGTTCTACAAGCTTGCCTTGTTAGAACGGCGTAGGCAGCTGGTTACGAGTCTAAGATGCATTTCCCTGGACGGTGTGTGTTTTACTTTATCACCCGGAGGTAACCCCTCCGACCCTTACGCAGTTTCAGTACGGGAGTCTAGCCAATTGTTAGATGTTCCTGCTGGCGGTCCTTACGGACCCGTACTATGGCGGTCAGAGTGCACTTTTATTATTTCTACAAAAAATGTGTGTTTCTTCAAAAAATGTGGCTGATTTCCTCAAAAAAACCGAACCTTCAAACTTCGAAAAATTTCACTCTCAAACTTTTGTTTAGAAAAAGTCAAGTCTGCAACTTTACAAAGTCTGCGCTGGTACTTTTCACAAGAAACGCCGGGGATGTGTGGCTGTGCCAACCCTAATGATGGCATCACCCGTCGAATGCAGTCCATCTCCCTTTGGCTGTTGGGTTGTATTTATTCACAGGGGCTCATATTGAACTGCTCTTGAGTGCCAAATTCACTTGACCTCTTCATGATGTTCCCAAATGACCTATATTACTGTTTCGTCCACCCTTGACTCGCAGGGCTCATTCAGGAGATAGTGCATTCGACGGGTGATGCCATCATTAGGGTTGGCACAGCCACACATCCCCGGTGTTTCTTGTGAAAAGTACCAGCGCAGACTTTGTAAAGTTGCAGACTTGACTTTTTCTAAACAAAAGTTCGAGAGTGAAATTTTTCGAAGTTTGAAGGTTCGGTTTTTTTGAGGAAATCAGCCACATTTTTTGAAGAAACACGCGTTTTTTGTAGAAATAATAAAAGTGCACTCTGACCGCCATACCGTACCACAAAAAAAAAAAAAAAAGAGCAAGTGAATTGTTTACCCCAAACAGCGAGTATTTTCTTTTCAACCAACCAATCAGGCCGGCGCGAAGCGCAAAATCCGGGAAGATTATAAACACGGGTGAAATTGCAACGCAGAAATTGGGCCATGATCTCCAGTGGAACCAGGTATTTTACACGACTGAGAGCAAACTGAGAGTTCCTCCGCACTCGCTTTCCCCGCCTCGTACGCATTCGGCACTTCGAACCGCACCCATCGACCCACCACGACCCTCTCTCGGCCACGCGAGAATGATGAGGAGTAGAAACAGGGCGGTGAATATCTCGGTCCCACGCAGAATGCTGAGGACTGCGGCGTCGATGCGCACGAAGAGTACAGTGTCCGTCACTAGCCACTGATGTGCAACGAAAAAGGCTAGGCAGGGGAGGCAGAAGAGCTTCCCCAGAAAGGTAGGCGGTGTGAGCGTGTCGAGAGGGGTTTCTGGGGTAGCGGGATGAGGATGGATGGGCCGTGCAGACTCGGACGTAGGCCTGGTGAGCCATTGGTCAACTGAGGCTGAAGATGACCGGTTCGTGGCCATCGAACAGGCCGATTATCAATTGGACTGGATACGCGGCGCGACTGGAGGCCGTGACCACTGGGCACTTGCGGACAACTTCATTGCCGCCACGCGCCAGGCGGCTCGACAGTATGTGCCAGTCCTGTTGTACTGATTAGCCGCTCACTGCTGACGCGAATTGTTAGGATCCTTCTATTGGATTTCGGATGACGACAATTTCAATTTTTCAACTGGACAGCTTCAGGTATCCTGTAATATCCACTTGTTCCAATACAACTGGCCCCATTCCCGGTACGTACCGTCTTCGCGGTCCACGGTTTGCGCGCGATTCACAGTACTTTACGCAGATTTTATCCCGGTGCTCCTCCTCGTTATGATCCCCGTTATGATCCAAAAATTTCGATTGTGTGATACAAGACTCTTCTCCCCTTTTCTCAACTCAACAACATCTATTCGGTATTCGGAGGCGAGCTGAAGTGTCTTGTCAGTCTCTCATAAGCTCATTCTGCGTGTGTTGTTAGCCGCAGTTCCTACCAGCTGGTCTTAGCAATTTCCAATCGATTCACAATCCACGTCGAACCATAAGATGCGTCGGTTAAAAACAACCCCAGACATTACGACGAACTTGGGAACATGAAATATGTTAAGGAATACGGTATACCACGCGAGTCTGCGAGGCGCTCGCCCCAGCCGGACGTGAACGTCCTGAGGGCTGCGCCTGCTGCCAGAATGCGGTGCTGAATAGCCGCCACACATCAACGCAACATCAACAGATCAATCTCTCCTTCTTCCTTCCTCCCACCACATCCACTCACAGCCGCAGCACTCCATGGAGCTCCATCCCTGCGTGCGCAGGCATGCCATATATATCCTCGCAATCGTCCTGCTTCCCCTCGCCCCCGCTGCCCTCGAGCCTCACCTGGGCCACAACACCCTGCGCGCCATCTCCTGGGCATGCACTAAGGTCACCCAGGGTCTAGCATCGGGCGCGTTCGCTCTCACGATGTGGATGGTCTGCTGGCTTGCGCGCGATGCTTTCGTTTGGCTTATTTGTGCGCGGGGTGTGGCAGCGAAAACTATCGTAGAACTCCGAACTCCCGCGGAGCTCGAGGACGGTGGCGTGCGCGATCTTGCGCTCCTCAAGATCGATAGCACTGTACCCACGCCCACACGCAAACCCAAACCGCTCACGACCCTCGACAAACTTATCACCATCCTCGTCACCACAACTTTCTTCTTTTATGCGTTCCTCACGCGCGTGCCCTCGCCCGCACCAACGCACGAAAACGACCGTTCCACCAGTGCTGAGGAGATTCTGAGCACGGCGCTGAAGTATATTCTGAGCGGATGGGTGGTCCTCGCCGTTGGTTTCGTGCTTCTTGTGTTGTGGAAGTTGCCGGAAGAGATGCGGCGGCAACGATGCCTCGACCAACAGGGCATTCCAACTGCCGAGGCGAAGTCGGATGCCATGTCGTTGCGAGAGGGAGCTGGAGGGGAGGTCAAAGAGGCGACGATGGAGAAGGTCCCAGGTTGTGCGACGCACTGATCATGGGCGAACCCAAGGCGAACCTCGTTGCCTGGGATTCTTCTCGGTGCGTTGCTGGTTTCATCCTTTTTGAACCAGAATATGGGGCTAATTCATTGCCTTCCTCAGCAGCTTGGACACACTTTATTGGATGTTGAAATTGAACACGTTCATTACTGTATTTTTGGTTGGACAAGCGAATGACTCAGCGATGCCATGTCTTTGTTCCTCGCCCTTTCTATCCTCGTTTTGGGATTCGAAACCGATGCGAAAGCATTTGCGACATCTCATCTGGCAGCTTACGCACCGTTTGCGGCGAGCAGCGAGGAGAGACTTCTCGAGGGCTTCGGTCCACCGTGACATACTGACTTCAGGGAGCCTCGATACTTTATGGGGTTTCGGTCTACAGTACGGATCTACCTCACGGTTTCGTCTCTCGACACAAGTGTCTAAGCAGATCCATCTCAATGTACTTACTTCCAGGCACCCTGAAATAAGCCATCGTGGGCAGACCGTCTCCCAGATATAAAACTGCTCTGTAACGTTGGAATGGAGGCGGACCGGAGTTCGATTCCCCGGATGGCACTGGGTTGCAGTGAGTGTTTTTCCTTCTGAGCAGGTTCTGCGAAAAGGGGCGTCGTTTGGCTGAGAGGAGTACAGATCCGTTATGGGACGGAATAAGCCGTCGTGGCCATGCAGATACCTCCATTGTGTG